ACAGGAAGAACTCTCTTCTCGTAAAAGGGCATTGCAGAACTTAATCAATCAAAATGGTATTCCCTCGGCAGAAGACGAATGTAACAAACTACTTGCTGACATGGATAAGGTAATTAAATTTGAAATTTATTAAGCGAAAATGATGGATAGCGTGTTTGTAGGTCCAGTTTAATTAAATCATTAATATTAATTTTCTAGGCTAATACAAGTCTTTCTAATCATCGTGAATATGTTGAAAATAAACTTGCTTCTCTTAAAAAATATATTTGTACATTGGATGCTGTTATGGCATGGGTTATGGAAACTCGAACAAGAATTAATATATCTCGTGATTTACCTCAGCAAGAGAGAGCTGAAGTTATGAACAATGTTATGGTAAGCATGGAAATATTTATTTATTTAAACAATTAATAAAGAGAAATAATTAACAATATTTTATGCAACAGACTAAAGTTGAAGATCGTGAAATGGAAGTAAAGGATGTACTGGAAAATTACACCAACTTAGAGAAAGAGTGCGAATCTGCGAAGCAACCTATTTCTGTAGAATTACAAGTAAGTATACAAAGAACATCGTTTTCCACTTGATATAAATTATTTTTGTTTTCATACAATCGCGTATTTATTACAAAACATGTTCTGTACAAAAAATGCTATACTAAAATTTTTAAACGTTTGAATTTCGTGGTAAAAAATTCACCAACCAATCAGAAGCTTCCTCCTATTAGCGTCGCGATCCTATTGGTTGGGAATAGGTTAGTATAAAAGGGGGCGCTTCGCGGCGTCATTACTCTTCGAACGATCGAGTGTGCGGGAGGACGTTTGTTCCGAGTTTTGTCAAAATTTGTATTTGTGATTTAGTATTGAATTTTTTCTTAAAATTGGTCGTGTATTGTCTGAATCTAATAGGAGAAGCTAAAGAAATTGAGAGAAGACTGGCAATTCGTGAAAAGCAGTGGAGAATCGCCGAATTATGATGTTAAATCTGCAACAGCGTCGGGGCCGGCGTCGCGGGGTATTGGTAAGTACTTTTCTCTCATATAATTGCATATAATCAGAATATAACTACACAAATACAAGTTTTTCGATGCTTTTAATGATAAGCATCGATTTTTGACGAAATAAGTATACTCAACAAACTAATTTCCACATTTTGTAATACTTCCGGGTTTCGATTGCTATTTCTTGCGCGGGAAATCATTTCCATTCGAAATTTAGTTCCGGCCTTTGCCGTAAGATGGCGACTGTCGCTATTGCGGGAATTTCAAATATTTCCTTACGTATTATAAGTGTTACTATCTAATGCTAACAAAATATTAATATTCAAGAAATTTTATAATTAAATTATTTAAAGTCTCCTTATACACGGCTATATTGCTATTTTATAATTTTAAACAGGTAATTGATAGAAAAATATAGTTGTTGAGTATACTTATTTAAAAATTCATTGAAAGTAGCTCGAATTTTCTTTATACGTATATCTTTGTAATTGCGAGAGAGATTTTCAAAGGAAATTGGTAATGGAACAATAAATAGTACGTTTAGCCGGGTCGGTAAGCGTGGCCACATATCACTTCCACTCCATCTTACGAAACGATATATATCCGCCACGTTAAGTGCACTCTTTTCAGCAAGTGACGGCCCTTTCTTCTACTTTCTCGTCCTCTGATCGATCTGTGTATTCAGAATTGCCGATGGCGATCAATTTCGCTGAGTCGTCGTACTTTTAATCGGAAGTCTTTTTAGTGCCATTCAGAACCGATGGCTTTGATAAAAACCGATTCAAAACTGAGCCGCAAAGACTAGGGAACGTTCAGTTTACTTTGCTTCTTACTTGCAGATTGTTCATAACTTAGAATCAAATTACAATAGGGAAAAGGAATTATTATAGTAATTGCACAGGGTTGAAAATATATAATAATATAGAAAATCTTTTATAAATTTAGTCTAATTAGTTTTGGAAAAGGGCGCGTATAGTGGGCGTTGAACGTGTTAATCGTCAGGTACCGGAAGGAAGGACGCGAGGTTGTTGATCCAAAAGCGGAGAGCTTAACGGAAAGGTCGAGGGTTTGTAGTATAAGCGAGACCGTCGGGCCGCATAATGAGCGGATAAGCCGTCTAATGTAGTCGTGGTGGAACATGGGAGGACCTAAGATAGCCGAGGCTTCGTTGTTCCCCGGTCTTCTGTTTCCAATGCTTCCTTCCTCCATTGTCTTCCATCTCCGGCGGATAGTGCTCCATCAAGATGAAATCAGACTCGTTTGACAAAAGTTCGGTTACCTACAAACGGGATTAATCTCGCGTTCTCAACCATTCTCCTATTTATAACATTATCTTTCCATCGTTTCCACTCTTTTTATTGCCAGAAATTATTAGTCCAAATCCTAAATATTTTTCAAATCATTTTAGAACTCTGCTCGTAGAAATCAGATTCATTTTCAATCAGCGAACGTTCAAGGGTTCATTAGTCCATGCATTAACCGATGTATCATCTACACGCGTACACTGTCGGGCAAACAGTACCCGGGGAAATAAAGCTGATTAGCCGAATGAACTCTCGTAGCTTTCGCGTAACACAATATTTCATCGTTTCGATGGGAAAGCGGATTGGCGGCTGATTCGAGCTGACGCGATTAACGAACGTATATGCATTGTGAGTCACGATCGTGTTAACGGTGAATTACCTTAATCCCAGAAAAGCTGTTTCCAACGAGTCTAACGTACACACGCGGAGGACGAGGAGAACGTATGTTCAACTGAACAAACACGTTGCTCGTTAGCCAGAGAGCTCATTAAGACTTTCGTATTCCTGTGGTCACGTTTTTCTTTTTTCACTGACGTAGTCAGCAGAATGTTTTCTAACATTTATAATAAATGTGAAGAATTAAATTACAGTTAGGGGTTGAAAGGTCATTTAACCTTCTATTAAAAAATCAAAATTTTCTTCTTCGATAAATATTAGAAACAACAAAAATGAAAGAAAAAATGATCGCACCCCTTTAGAGATTTAGTTAATTTTTCTGTTTTATAATATTTGTGGAAAATAAGCTTATTTGATAGGCGCGATAAAAGGGGAGAAAATTTTCGAGCGGTCGATGGACAGGTAGCTGGTGAAATATATCGGATGTTGTGCCGTTGTGCTGACACAGGGATCGCGTTGTATGACGCTGTGCTAATTGCAGCTCGGTGTTGTACGAGAGACAGCTTTTTATGCCGCGACTGGTAATGACATCCGCCCTGCACAGCTGACCCTCTATTATTTCTCGGCGAGCCTCTCTTATCGAACAAAATCCCGTTGCGAATGGGACGCGTACATTTATTCCGGGCCGAATTTCGAATTTTCGCGTATCAAAGCTTTATTTCAAGCTTCTTTCATCGTAAACCCGTCGACTGAATAACGAGTCTCGAGACGAAAACCGTATCTCTCTGTTCCACGAATTATGATGTCCTTTGTGTTTCACCAGCTCTCGGTGTAAATTCACCAGCCGAGAGTACTTTGGCCACGGGTAAAAGGGTAAGATGATTGTTAATCACATTCCGGCCTCGACAATGGAATTGTATTGCTGGGAAATCAAAAGGAAATTAAGGGAAACCGCGATGCTCTTCTGGCAGAATAGAAATTTAGTCCTTTAGGATATTTTAAGGACCAGAGAATGCTTAGGGGCTTTATTCGTGATTTTCTATTCAGAAGTAAAAGGGTTAAATCTTAGATATCTTTTAGAAATGATCCTTTGAATAGAAATATAGAAGGCATTGGGAATTATTAGTTAAATCATTGTTTTCAATCTCAATTTAATGCACGTGGTACGAGTATTGATGTTCCCTGAGGAAGTGAAAAACGAAGAGGGTTGTCAGGGATTTACGTCGAAAATAAGACGAAGGGACACTTCTTCGGGATCTAATAAGAGCCAGCTTAGCCATGAAATTTTATTGTACCACGAGAAAGCTTCCCAGTGCTGATGGGGTGGTTTCGTTCTGCCATACGTTACTGCTACGCATGAATGCTCGTTGGACACACGTGTGGGTGTAATACACAACACTGGGGATACATACACTAAAGCTCAAAAGTATTTGCCCATTTATTCTTTTTCTTATTTATGGGATATGTGTCTGATCTTCCCCTATCGAGTCTAAATCTTTTAGACAAATACAAATCACAAAACAACCCCATAAAAATTACTGAAATCTTTTCATGTAATTTGCTTAATTAGTAAGAACCTTGAAATTAAATGATTTTCAATAGCATTCAAATTATGTTGATATCTTTTTCAATTTTAATTATGAAAATACATTACTTTATCTATGGATATTCCACGATGAGGTGTTATTTTTTTAAAAACTTTAATTCCTTTTTTTAAAATCATAACAAATGTGCTATTTCCACAATATTTTATCCGCTTAACGATGGACAAATACTTTTGAGCGATATTGTATGTAGCAGAGAACGAATAACGAGGGGTGGACGGATGAGTAAAATAATGGTTTTTTGGGAGGGGTGCATCGGACGCTGAAATATGTAACTTGGTTGTGGCCACGCATTACCTACAATGAGATTCCACATTAACGGGTAATTGGAAATTATTATTTAAATTCTCGTCTCGAATATCAATTTTATACATTAACATGTTTTCCTGGAAATTGTCTCTTTACAAACGAATTTTATCCAACACGTAGAATTTATTTTCCAGTTGGATTTATTTTTGAATACAGTGTTTTATCCCGTTTCTCAGAGGAGAGATGATTTGAAACGACGTAGAAATAGAATTTCTCGGCTAGAACGAAATGAAATCCATAGATTCTTCCGCCAACCGATTGGTCTTTACTTTCTGTCTTATATCCGCTTTCGTTTCATTCGTTGAAATTTTATTCTGTTCCCTTTTTGAACAGAAAACTCGTATATTTATAAGTTGTTTCAAGATTTCCTTTATTTTTTGTCGTATACACGAAGAAAAATCATATCAAGTTTTTTATACATATAAAAATACAACGTGTACAAGAAAATTGTAGAATTAAGAATCCAGGGTTTTCAGAGTGTACAAAAGTGAATCGGTTTGAAATTTAATCCACCATAAAAAATAATCAAATAAAAACACAAGTAAATGTAATACACCATATATTACATAGAGCCATATGATGAAATTAACTGAACGCGATATCCTGTCCTCTTGGAGTTCTTCCATTGTCTCGAGCTAAAACGTACAAGAATCCCTGAAATTGCAAAGTTACAAATTATAAACATTTCCTTCAGAGAACTTTAGAATTGTTCGTAGCGTTAGCAACTGCAGTTAGAACTTGGGAACCAAGTAAGGCAGGTGTGCAGAATTTTGCCATGCTAATGTTTCGAGGGTTGTATACTTTTATTAAATACATATTTACTAAAATTGCTGCTTGGAAGAAATACTCGAGAAAATAATTTTTAATTTAATTCAGGAGAAAAATAGGAAAAGACCAGCTGTGACTTTTTCCTATTTTTCTTCCAGACTAATTAAAAATTACTTTTTGAAATATCAATTTATTCAGGGTGCTATTTTTAATATTTTTAAAAATATTGTTGTTTCCTAATTTTCTAATTGGATTTTCTTAGGATACAACCGTAAGAATAATCATTTTTCTTTCTCACCTGCACCGCTTGCTTAGCGTTTCTAATCGCGCCAACGTGACAAATTTTTTCGATCATTCGACCCGTGAGACCTTTCAAAGGAGATCGAACAATTGTCCGTCGTGTCATTACAGTTTTATTCGGATCGAAGTAGCTGGGTATATACTCGGTCGTCTCCGATGCGATCACCAGCTTCTTGTGCTCGAGGTTCTTCGTTAACGAGATCAAACGTTTCGCGTAGAGGTCGACGATAGCCTCCTCTAGTATCAGTGCCTGTGTTAATTGAATTTCAATCGAAAAACTTCATTCTCTATCGCGAGTAATTCGTCGATAGAATACCTGAGGTTTCTTCACTAGTTTCTCCAGCCAATTGGGTAACGAAGTAGCGGTAGTCTTGCAGAAGATTCTTCGATTTAAAAATTTCCCATCCTTTATCTCTCGATGCACCGTGTCTTCTGATAGAACGTGAGAAGCGTACGGATTTGGATAGCGTTTGAAAAATGATTTGCAAACGGTTAACCAGCAGTATGGAAGGATAGTTATCTCTGCGCTTTCCTTCATTGACTGGAACTTGAAATTTTTCAAATATTAAAGATTTCTTTTGTATGTTAAATTTTTCAAAATTCTCATTCCTCGAATATTTTTGTATTTATGGGAAAATTAAGCAAAATAGAAATATTTTTATGATCAACGCAAGGGTTAATTACGTGTAAATGTAACGGGGTTAAATAAACTGCGTGAACTTTCCCCATTTCGCAGTTATATTTTCAAAGGCTAGATTCTTCTTGTTGGTCGTTGAAACCTCGAGGAGAGGGAACGTTCACGCGAATCTATTCAATTACTGATGCTTACTCGTTCATTCATACCAGCTAACCCCACACCAGAACTTCTCTCTTTCACCCTCTCTTATTCTAGCAATTCATTAGTGAATCGTCAGGTACTTGGTAAATAATGGAGAGCTTCCCTCATTAACGTAACATCAATGATAATAACGCCTCCACGATTTTAAATACCTTATCGTTCTGTTTGCCATGGACAATGATCGCTGGGATTATGAACGAGCAGAGGATTTCAAGTGTAGAAACTTATTATTTTACAGTGTTGGTTAATCGAATGCGATTTGAAACAATTTTTCTGAAAAATGGTTATCCGAGGAATAACCTAATCCATTTTTATTTTATTTCTAATTATATCAAAATACATATACCTTTCACTTTTCTCCCTCGATCATATGCCGTCTTTAATTGTACGTTAATTTCATCTGGAGGTTTTATTTTTGATACGACATTATTCGTATGGTTGTAAAGATTTATTTACGAGATCCACATTTTGACGTGACATCGTTCTTCCGTTGTCAGAAACAGAAACATCCGTTTCTTTTCCAATATTTTGTTATTCGCGAGTACACTAGCGGAATTAATTCTGGACACTTTAAAATTTTTACTTAAATTTCGCATTTATTCAAATTATTTAATATATAGTCATTTATATTTTATATTGTAATTAGTACTGATACAGCCATACTTTTAATATACAATAAAAATTACAATTTCAACACATCAAAGGAGGTAGAAGAAAATTAATATTTCGTTGGTTACTCTTTCATCCTGTGATTGGCTATTTCACATTATGCAACGTTTCATGTTGCCAGGTGCAAAAACAATAATAACAACATAGTTTAGATTTTTTTTAATTAAAATTTTAAAACATTTACAAACCAAATCACGTGGAAATATTAAGTATAAACATTATAGATTACAATAAAAATATTACGGTATCAATTTAGCATAGCAGAATATACATATTCTGAACAAATATAAAATAAAGAATATTTTTATTCAAAGTGTCCACAATTAATTCGTTAATCCTCAAACGACGGACCACGTAGAGGGTCTCAATTTTAATTCCATTCTGTATTTCGCGTTATTTTAAGTTTGATCTTCGATTGACCCAGTTCTTCGATTATCAAGTACCATTTTACCAAACACCGAATTAATTAAACATAACACTCGATGTCGCGTATCGTGAAAATTACACTTGACATAGATTCTCAACAACCTCGTTGAAAGTTCCCGAAGTAGACACATGGTTCCCTCGAACCTAAGGATGTGCGAATGATGCTCCAACGGAGATTGTCTTCTGTTAATTCGAGCACTATGGCATGGTCTCGGTGCAGCCAGATAACAGAAGCCGATTGCATGGCCGTGGATTCGTGAGAAAGCCGTAACAATTACCGGTGCCGGAGAGAAGAACACAGTTTGGCCTCGAGGTTCGTCTAAGCTGCGTTCTAAGCCGCGTTCATTACCGTACCGGTGATCAAGCTCTGGTCCATGGTCAAGAGGACGGGAAAGGGTGGCTGATGGGCAGACCTTAGGACGGGTAGAGGAAAAGGGTGGTTAAGGGGGTGGTTTAAGCGAGTGTAGCCGCGGTGGTCAGGCTTGTAATCTGACGGTGGTGGGTCGTTCGGTTGGTCAGGGTAAAACGGTCCATTAAGAGCGGGTAGCAGTTAGTGGGCATGCTATAGGAAGCAACCAGCTTACTAATGCCAGCCCATCGGCATCCCCGTAAGGGCCGTTACCGAGGTCAGCATCGAGGGTGGCTGGCTTCGCCTTCGCGAAACTTGGATTTTGTTACGTCCACTCTGTTCACCCTTCGTTTCTGTAAACAGACGAATGTTTCGTGCCAGCCTTCAGCTGTTTGTGATCGATTGTAACGGATCCTCTATTTGTTTCCTACCCAGGGTATGATGTAACTGGAGTTTGCACGGTTTGTTTCCCTTGGGCGATGTGGTTGGAATTATCGTTGTAATTGGAGCAACATAAGAGAAATGAATAATTTCAAGTATTAACAAAGTTTAATCATCCTAGAAACGCATTCTCTAACGACAGATCAATGTCGCGTCCCTTTTACGGGAACCCCATCGCCGCTACTCGAGCCATCATGTAATTTGAACACGCTGGACATCAGAAGTTGACGATGTTATCGGTATGTAGATACTCGAGCAAATTACCGTACGCGCACCTACTGCTCTGCTGTCTCGTGTACGGATATCCGAGCTGCTCGGCGAACGCGGCTGGTAGGGTAAGCAGAAGTTACTGATGCGAAGGGAAGAACCCCGTTAAACGCGCGGTCCCACCCCCTTCGTTGGGGTAGCTTTGCCTTCACCAACCAAAGTTTGATTACTGTTTTCACTGCGGAGCCACGATAGAAGTGCAATACCTACCGTTCTAACAAACCCGATACATCCTCGCGTCGTTACTTCGCCGACGTCAGGATTCGGCTGGCTCTTTGCGAACTTGCCTTAGCTTCGGATTGCTAGTGAAATAATTCCAGGTATGCAAGCTTTCGTTCGTTTCTATCTCGGCGGATTCGCGTTTTGTCGATTGTCGTCGCAGATACAGTGGATGATCAAATTGTTAGAGTCATGGTATGAAAAATGGGTTGTTCGTGTTTGCGTAGAAATAGAGCCACGATTTTAAGGTTTTTACATTGTGTAACTTTTAATCAATAATTCTCAACTATTCAATCGATTGATATTTATTACTAATAATAAATCCACAAATTTTTTATGGGTTTGAGATCCGAAGAATTTCTAGTCCAGTCAAGAACTTTCACTTTTTTCAACTGTGTATCATAATTTTACAAGTATCAATACACCATAAAAAAATAAAAATTCCGTTTAACTCGGTTTTCATTTAAGAATTAATGATATTTATATAAAATCATCAGGAAGTCAGTCAAAAAGGAAATGTTATGTTCATTTTGATAGTCTTCTTCTTTTTCAATTTCTTAATACATTATTCACAATTTTAATTCTTCGATTAGAAGTTCCATTTTTCATCTGTATTATTCAAGACTAAAGTAATCATTGGATCTTGTTCGAAATTGATCAATGCCATCAAGAACATTCATTCCCTATCGAAACCGACGAAGTAATTAATTCGTGACACTCATGTCCGTCGAGGGAACTTGGCTCGGGCAAGTTGCGGGGATGGAAAAGGATATTTCCCGAAGAGCAACATCAGGGTTGGAGGGAAACTTTGATTTGACTTGCACGCGACCGCTTTTGCACGAGACCTGCGGTCGCACCGTTTCTACCAAGGGACTCTGTTTCGTCATCGAACGGATTGTATTCGATCGATGGAATTAGAATTCTTGTCTGTGGTTGAGATCAACCTTTGCTTCGCCTTAGAACCACGTAATTGTCGTCCACTCTTGTCGCAAACTGCATCCCTGTAATTTCGGGTTCGTTGGATCTCACGAATTGCGATGCAGTTCGTTCATGTTTCCCAGGGAGTTTTTATTTTTGTCTGCATCAGATTGCACCCTCCTGGTCACTGTAGAAATTAGAATTCTTGTCTTGATCGAGATCAATGTGGATTCCTCGAAACTTTGCATTTTATCATTTTAATTAAACTAATTTGGAATTCTTTAAAGAAATTTTTATTTCCTAGTGGATGTAATCAATTTTCATAGACCGTTCCTCAGAATTTTATTTTTCCCAGTTCTTATTTTCTTTCGAATTTCCATACCGTTAATTTACAGCACTAAATCCTTTGCAAATCCTCGTATTTGTCGTTCGCACAGTTCGAAACTTGAAATTTTTCGATGACGATTTCGCGTGGGATTTCGCGAGCTTCCCCTGCAGAAGTTGGCGCGATTGTACTCGAGGTGAGGGCAAGAGAGAACGGCACCAGGGAATAATACGCGAACGTTCAGAATCCGGAGTTTCGCAGGAAGGGAACAATGGACAAGATTAATGGCAAATGGCGTGAGCGTGGAGCCCAGTACCGTGGATCCCTAACACAAGCATAACGAGAGGTCGGTCTTGCATAATCTGTCTTGTGGTGTTGCTGTAAGCATCCCAAGGCCGGATTATTGGAACATTTATGGAGAGAATTTAATATCATTTCAGAATGAAATCACTATGAAAATCCTCTTGTTTTTCTTTATTAGTGTATTTTAATCATTTGCTAATTATTAAGGATACGATTGGTTAATTTCTAAACTTACATTTTTGGATTATTTAATTTGCTTTTCTTTTTTTTTTGATTCATTATTCGGCTATACAAAATTCAAAGTGTTAGTCACTCTGAAGGTGTCCATTGTTTCCTTAAAAATATCCTAACTCCAAACTTTTGATCGCCAGTGTATGTTAGGAATTTTTGTATTACGGTGATATTCAATATCGGGGATGCAGAAGATGATTTATGAACACTCGTGATTTAATCGCGCTTTCAAAGCGTCGTTGAAATAAAAGGGCGATTTAATTAAGCGTACAATAGCGCAGATTGTTCGGGCTAGATCGTGCCGTTAATTAATTTAGGAATGCTTTTCACGCAGGACACAAACAAATTTACCGTGTTATAGAATTCATCTGGAACTCAAAGGAAATCGTGTTAATTAGATTATTCTTGTTATTAATTATTATTTCGAAAGACGTGGGAGAGACACTGGGTTACTCTGTGTTTCTTGTACGTATAATAATCCCTGGGGCAATTTAGTCTGGAGCTGCTCAACAATTATGCCTTCCTTGGTTCAAATCATTATTCATATTTCGTGATTCTTTGGCATTTCTCTTTCATTATGAACAAACCGTGGGTATTATCACACATTTAGAAAATGGAGAGTAGGTCATTTTAATTAAGTTAATTTATTAAAAGTTGTGTTTTTACTATTTAAAAAAAATTACAATTTATCAGAATTGCAAAGAAAATAATGAAACTTCCATTTTAAATTCTTGTTGAAAATTAAAAAAATACCTTTTGTACATACTTGCAAAAAATCCTAATAGGTCTCTAGAATTGCTAGGTACTTTTTTTCCATAAAAATTGTATCCTATGCACAGATTAAAAAGAAACAGGAAAAAGATTGGGAGGAAAATCGAAAAGAATAGAAAAGACGCCTGCTCGCGATTCGCTATGGATATGGTTTATTTCAAAAGGTATTTCGAGGACGACATGGTTTCTGCACTTACGACGAACCAGAGAATAGGATATTGAAAAATCCCCGCCTTACATTGACACGCTATCCCTGCTTTCCTTCGGCTGTTCGCTTTTTCCTCTTGGTTTCGCGCCCGTTGCTAGCCGAGGATGAATGCGTGCGAGGGTGCCACCAATGGTAGCAGGTGCGCCGCGTGAATTTATCGCGACGAAGGAGCTCGACTTATGAGCGCTGCTTGTGATTTGAATCGAGCCGAAAAACTTCACCTCTAGATGATCAATATTCTTTGAAAGAAATGGTGTAGAAATGTTTTTTTGTCCACGGGTAGATCTATTTCTTCAATTGCAAGTTGCACAAATCCAATATTTTAATTCATTGGTTCTTTTACAAAACTGTTCTTTCAATCGCAGAATCATTTCTTTAAAAAAAAGTTGATTAGTTTTCTGGGAAAAAATTCCCAAAGATACCTGTCTATCTTTTTTTACC